CAGTCCACCTGATGGTAAGTGGTTGCTGTGGACCATAGACATCTACATCTTATCCACGTTTGCGAATCAAAATGCAGATGCGTTGTCACCCGTGAGGACTAAGACGGAATGCCTCTTTTCCAGTAAAAAGGGTCTCCGATTCTCTACACTCACCATACAAAACACAGCAGTGTTAAGCTGCTATTTTACACTGGTATTCTGTGAGAGCGTGATCCTTCCCCGGTCGAGCCGATCGTGCTACAACTATACTACTAATATAGCTACAGCATGGCTCTACCACGTAGAAAATATATGTAAATTGATAATAATGCTGCTAACGCGATGTATTGTGACTCAAATGGATTTTAGTTTAGTTTATGACGGGTTATTTTCCGCAACTCAACGTCTATTTTGCGTGGGCAGGAATATTACGATTATTCGAGCCATGAAATCTCCTCGAAGAAGTTCAGCAGTCCTTTGATGTTGCGAGTAACTTTGAGCAGTGATGTCGACGTGTAAATATAAAGTTTAGCCCTGTATGCAGCGACCCGAACATGAGAGCACCACGTGGGTCGCCGTTTCCTCCTCCGCCATACACGCTCTCCACAGGGGTCAGTCTTAACTGTCGTGTCCTATAATAGCCCTTGTTGCTATTCTGATCTGTGGCTTGTTCAATCTCGTTAAGACCTTGGTTAAACGACTGTTTATTGTTAGCAGGCTTACCAACAGACTTCTAGATATAGCCAAAGCTGAGCGCGTCGATTAGTGAAATGTTTACGTACCAATGAATGAACGTTACCAAATGAAAGCGATATGATCGGTTCCGACCCTATAGCGGCCAAAGTCGATTCTCCCCTGGCCTGTTCGTCAGCTGCGTCGTTGCCACGACTCAAGAGGATAGGACAAATAAGTTTTCTTACCAGGTTTAAATAAAAGATTATTGAAATATATTGCTAATGTCGATATTTAATGTCTATATCAATATTCCCTACATCAGATTACATTCGTTGACATTTCAAAAATTAATGAAGTATGTAAGCCAAACTTTTTTAATACAATAACCGCGATTTGTACTCTGTCTTACATCTCTAGTTACATACTAGGCCAAACCTTACAATACCCGAACCTGCCCAGAAACAAAAAAAAAAAGAAATTGAAATACTATAATATTAAATATTTGTTACAGATAAATACTAGAACATTAAATAAAATGTTAGTCGTTAAAAATAACTGAATCTACACATACTAAACACAAATAAAATTTAGTAAAGGCACGTATCATGAGCACTGGCCGTACGCACTTGCGCAGAGACCTCGGCTTCCGACACCGATCTCAATGCCCGATTGGTTCGTTCTTGGTATATTAATCGGTGATTGGAGCAAGTACAATTCGAAGTATACAATGCGCACAGATATCATTGGTTGGAAATGAATTTGCTCAAACTGGCTACACCGAAATTGACCAGCGCTCAAAACTCGTGCCGAACGCTATACCACGAAATACAAAATGGAGAACAAAACAGTGAGCGGGACAGGTGTATTGCTGTCTACACGATCTGCCTATATGAGAAAGAATGCAAAATACTTATGTTCATTTGTTTCAAAATCGTTGCATGGGATATTTGATCTCCAATCATCAGATATAGATAGCTATGTTGACAGCTTTTTGCAAAACATTCTTTCCTATGGTTAATGTAAAATTCCAGTTGGGGACGACACAACACAAACTATCGTTATATGTCGATAATCTTTTGGGCGGTACTTCAAAACTATATTCAAATATGAAAAAGAAAAGGAAGTATTCTGCTAAATTGGCTATAAGGAACTCTATAAATTTAAGGCGGACTGGATAGGAGTTATTAGGCTGTCTTAAATGTACTGAGATTCCCTTTATGGTGTGGACAGTTGAAATTATTTGCTAGACACACCCAAAAGACTGACAATCCCACAGATTATATAACTTCGAGGTATTTATTACCTGTGACTAGTTTTGTACACACCTTTTGTATTGTTGCTGTGTTTATAATTGTATTACTACACTTACGTTAACGAAACACCACACCAACATAATTTTTTAATCAAATCCTAAACTAAATTTAAATAGAGAACACAGATTTTTTTAAATACTTACGAATAGGTACTTAAAGATTTATGTTGCGCAAAATAATAACTGACTAGTTCCGTGTAGTTAAGTACTTTAAATAAATTAATAATTATTAACCTTAATGAAACATTTATCCTTAGCAGTATTATAGAAATTAAACAAATTACTTATTCAAAATGCATTATACAAGACTGTATAATCAGAGTTAACCACAACGATGCATTCTTCGGATTATGATATGCATTTATCTATGAATAATTTAACTATGAAATATGAAAGATAAATAATGAGATAGGTATGTTACTGAGTAAACAATTACCAAACTAATTTTGAACTTACACTAATATTCAATATATTAATAATAACATCAAATGAAATCTAATTTAAGTCTATTCACTATTATGACAATAAATTATGAATTATACATTACTTAAATGTAATAATAAATAGTGATTATACAATAAAATGAATTAGAGAGACAATATCATAGCATAAAAGACAAATTTAAATGTTGCCCCTTGTCATATTGACATGAGATACGCCTCATTATAATATGTGCAGTCAGCACGGAACAATCCACATTTTAAATCCTTTGAGCCTAAGATCAATGCAATTTTTTTTTATTTGACATACACATCAATACAAATATGCTCACTTTATACATAATATTCAAGTCAATACAAAATTTTTTATTAAAATGTTGATCAACATACTGTAGTCATAATGGTCCGTCAACTTGATAATTTTGGATTTTAATTTTTACATAAATTAATCAATATCATATTTGTTATTTATGACATAATTATCCACTACAGATCGTCAATGGCTTAAAACACAAATTTTGTAGAAAAAAAAGGTACAATATGAATTTATAAATTCAATGATTGTTTATTTGTCTAACTTGATGATTTGTGCATTTAAATTGAAATTTCCCTTATAACTTTAAGTTACGGAAATATTAATTAAAACATAGAGTCACCTTTATCATATAAATAGATGAAACTTACAGGGATTGCTAATTTTATGATACTTTTTTACATGAATATTTAATCTAATGATTAAATCAGTCATATTCTCTGACATCTTTGGTTGTCTATGGACACAATACGGAAATATTGTGAATACTTTATGGTAGGTATTTCATTAAATATTGCATAAAGCAACACGGGACAGCGGCAACTAGAGAGGAGTAGCTATAGCATATTTTTCTCGATCCAGAACTGTCTGTCATTTTTGTGGGGGGTAATATGTGCAAATTAAAACAATTGTCTGTCTACAAAACTTACACATAACAATTCAAACAATAAACTAACGATTTCACACACACATAGATACATTAAAATAGTATCACTCGGTGACAGCAACAACTCGGATACGAACTCGGATCAGTCACTCAATTGATCTGCATATTGTATGAGTGCGAGTGGCCTGTTTTGGTAAACAAATCCGAAACAACACAACTGTTATTATTGTAATTTTTGTAGGACGTTGATTCAGAAGTGCAACTAGATTTAGTCTAGTGAGCAATGTGGCTGCGACTAGTTTTATTGTATGCAGAACCATGTGGACTTATACTTCGAAAGAGGGAAACGCCTACATATGGCTACTCCCCACCGAGTGCCGGTGGCCTATGTGGTTTTATAAAATGTTGTATTTTTTTAATATTTATTGCAGTATTACTTTTGAAAATAGTTAAATAATTGCACTGGATTTTTAATAGATATAATAAACTCTTTTTTATATATTTTTACTTAGAGTAATTCTTTAATATTGCACTGTCAATCCTCATAAAAAAATTAAGTATATTACTTGGGATCTATTCTTGGGTCAATATTGTGACATACTATTATAAATTTGTCTAAATTTCTTATTTATTACTATATAAAAAAAGATTTCAGTACTTTAATACCATTGCAAATATAGTTTAATAAAATCAATGGGTAAAGATAAATTATGCTCTATTTGGAAAAGTAACAATAAATGCTACTTTTCCTGTATTACAATTGAGTAAAATTGATACATTTCAGATATACCTAATTTTTTTAAAATCGGTTATATCAAAAAATGACAAACTTCTAAACATAAACATAGATTGAGTTTTCTAAATGTTTAATGCAAATAGTATAAACATTTAGTATTTTCATTTGTCCTAACCAATAATGCAGTAAGTGATATAGAACATTATCGTAGCAGTAATAGTGTTGAGAAAAGTTTTATGTTAAATATATAACCCGGATGTTTAGAATTTATATTGCAGGCTTGTCTTTTCAACAAATAAGTGAAAAGCTTGGTAACACAAATGGTGGTTATAACTGAAAGGAATAAAGTATTAATGGAGCATTACATTTACTAAAATATACACAATTAATTCATAATGAATATTAAAGTGGAAACTTATTTTACAAATGTTTAATCGGATTGTGATGCTTAACCTGTGATTATCAATGGTTTGTACTTTCTGTCATGTATTATTAATAACACTAGTGTTAATACTACTGAGGTGCCATGGAGGTGCCCCTTACAATGTGGTTAAAAACACCAATACTAACTTAAGTGAGTGTAACTTATAGAAGTATGGCAACCTTATGTTATGCATGAAAGTTGGTGCATTCTTGAAAGGTCCTACATCCAGTGGAGGATCCGAAAGGTCGATAAAGATGAATAACCCCTAAGTTGGAAGTGGTGTCATTATAAAAAATAAAAAATTTCATATGGCACCCCAACATGTCAGTTGGTGGTGTTATCAATAATACATCCCTTTCTTGTATTACATTACACTGTTACAATTCGGTATCATGCCATGATAGTTGTCACATTATTCACTGGTCAATACTTATATCATGTGACAGAATCATGACAGAGAAATGATCAACATTTTTGCATTAGCTACAATTTATTGACTAGAACTTTTATGAGTTTAGGATTTACTTTTATTTGTTTTGAAGCTGACCTGCAGCACCTGACCGTTAAGTGAATATCCATTCAATGATTGAATTGCAACAACAGCCTCATCATAATTGGTCATTGTGACAAAACCATACCCTTTACACTTGTTTGTTGTGGGATCCCTTATAATTTTTACACACTGGACGGCACCAAAAGGGCCGAAGAGCTGCCATAGAGTACTCTCTTCAGTGTCAGCCCCAATATTATAGACAAAAATGCACCAACCTGAACCACCAAGAGCATTACCTTGTATGAGGGGATCTGCTAGTGGAGAAAATCTTTGGAGACCTTTGTTGATTGCTAAAAGTGCCTTACCAGCAGGACCAACAAATCTGCGAGTTGAAGTTGGAGCCAAATATGCTGCTAAAGGAGCCAGAGCCTTGTTCTGATTGCTTGGATTGTTTGCACATTTCACTGTCATCGGTCCAGTGCCTCCAGGTGGAACTGTACCATTTAACTCACGTATGGCTGCCTCTGCTTCACACCGCTGATCGTAACGTATGAATGCAACACCTCTTGAAGGTCCCTGAATTGATTGGTCATCCAAGCCACCTTGCAATAAATGACCAACACTAACATTCTCATGAAGAATACGAGAACTGATAATTGTTCCATATGGGCTGAAGAGTTTCTCCAAGTCTTGTTGTGTCATGTGTTTCGGCAAGCCAGACACATAAAGGTTGGCGCCTTTGATTGCGTCAGAACTTGGACGGGCGTAAGACACTTTAATTATCTTATTTTGTAATCGAAGACCATTCAATGTGTTTACCGCTTTCTCGGCGTCTTCCGCTTTGTGGTAATTGACGAAAGCGTAGCCTAGACTCTGCCCATTAAGAATGTGGTCGGGAAATACGGTGACTTTGTCTCTAATCAATTTGCAACTCTCAACTTCACCAACACTGGAGAATAACGATCTTATCTCTTCCTGAGTCATAGTCTGTGGTAAATAGTTCACAATTAAATTGGTCTTTGACTCATTATTGCATGGTTGTACTTTACTACCATTTTGCGTAGGTTGATTCACATTTACGGTGTCGAGTGAATTGGCCATCATTTTTACTAAATACAATATTAACACCAAATAAGGGTAAAATACTTATACAAATCGTATAAATATATTCAAATTAGACCACAGTCTTACTCGTAAAGCTAGCTCCACTTCGTATTGGTTGAAAGCATATGCAAGGAAAGAAAATCAATAAGATGCTGTGTACTCTCGTACTTATCCTGTTTTCGGGGGTGTAGTGTCCACTTCGTTGAATCAAAATATGACCAGAAACACAAATTAACACGAGTTTATTAGATCTTACTGAGAATACGAAAGTAAAGTGAAAAGGAAATCAACCAAAAATCTATGCGACTTGCGACCTATTCTCGTAAATTCATTTCTTTCACTTCACTTTCTTTTTGAAATGTTGCCAGTTTCTTAAACTGTCCATTTTACCACATTGCTTGAAATTTTATAAGAAATCGGATATGTTTGGACGTTGAGTTGACCTAGTTGATAAAGTTAAGCAATATTTTGATTTACTCATCAAAATATTGCTTAACTATAAATAAATATGATCGATGAATAACAAAAAACTAGATACACAATCCCATGCAAATGTTCTCTAAAAGCTGTCGCTAATTGTTTTGACGTAATTCTAATTGAAATAAATATACATTAATATAAATTCAACCTTAAATGCATTCCTAAAGTTGTATTCACAAAGCTACGTACAAATTAAAACGCACCCAAACGGGCGCTCATTCGGTAAGGACATTTTTTGTCACTGATTGTGTATCTAGTTTTCTATTAGTGATCGATGGTAAATATTTAAATTTTAATATCACTTAATCATTGATACGTTTCATTTAAACTATACAGTATATAATCACAATATCTTCTCTGCTTAGCCTGGAGGTAAACTGGTAGAGAAATCCCTGTTGCATTAAGTCTGCCTTTTTGTACTTGGTGTGCAAATAAAGCATAAATAAATAACATAATATATATTTTATTCTTACGAAGATTACGACCTTACATTACAAACTTATTTGATTAAAAGTATATAAAGTGATTTTATATGAAAACGACATATTTTTAAAATAAATTAAAGGTAAGTCTTATTTTATTTATTAATAATATATTAATAAATAACAAAAAACAATTCTGTGGTTGGCATTTCCAATTTTTTTTGGAATGTCTTATGTGTTGTAACACTTACACAAAAGTACCAAATGCTTTTTACCAGGTTAACCAATATTACAAATATACTAAATGTGCATTTACAAAGACAGTTAATTGAAATATATCTACCTTTTAAGTATTTTCTTTTATTTTTCTCGTATTACATTTGATACAATAAATATGTATAATAAAAGTAAATTATAATAAAATATAAATATTTGTTTGTTTGCCCAGTTTAGTTTGTAGATAGTGATCATTTTTTATATTTTAGATTCTCGCCACGTATAATGTAATAGTTCTTTTATATTATAGCTTTAGCTTTTTAAAGCATAAATGCACGCTCTTGTAACATACAAATAGAGTAGAATAATATAGTCACAAACTAATAACTAGGAGTAAAAGTATTCTGTGCTAATAAGATGTGCTATCTAGCGCAAATAAAGTTTAGTAAGATAAGAGACATTATCTATTGAAATATTATTATGTGTAAATGCTAAATGTTTTGTGCTACAAATCCTGTTCTACTTCAGAACAGATTTAGATTTTTTCTGCTTCTGATATGTTAAGAATGTATTAAATTTATATTAATTACTCTAAGATGTATATAAAATATTCAAATAAGCTAATGAACAGATAAATATAGAAGCGACATCTGTTGACGAGTTGCACTTAACTTCACTTAGTAATTGCAGAATAAAATTAATTATTGTTCTAGATCTAGATGTCAGTTTATGTCCAATCCTACAATTTAATTGTATGTATATGTAGGGAATACAATATCACCGTGTTTAGTCAACCGATTATGGCGATTTTTTATTTAAATGTCTCTCTTTTTCTCTTTTCCAGACTATACATTTGCAGTAAGTACATTTAAAAACACCGATTTTTTTCTAAAATTAATCATCAATTGGCGCGATTGCTGACCATGTGACCCCGAGTTCGAATCCCACGTCAGGCCAAAATCAGTTAAGGAGTTTTACTGTCTAGGAATTCCCAGTAGTAGCCCAGAGTCAGCATATTAGCGGTGTTTCATTCCCGTACCTCCGAAAGCACCTAAAGCTGTCCCTTCTGCGCTTAATCTCTCTTCAGCCGTGTTAGATTGTCGTTCCATCGGACTATGAGAGTGCGGGTATAGAGAGTCCACCTGTGCTTATGCATCGTTCATGAGGATGACGCAATTTACAAACATACAAATTCAAAGATAACAAATAAGTGTATCTAATGGAAATATAGTTTAGTAATTAAATTATTTAGTAATTTTATTTTTAAATTGAACTGTCAATATTATGTGTGTTGTGGTGTTTCCAGTAAAAAGGTTCTCCAGTTAGGCTGGTATTCTGTGAGAGCGTGGTCCTTCCCCTGTATAATATAGCGGCAGCATGCCTCTACCACGTAAACCATCTTACGTGTCACGTGGTAGCCGTGTTCCGTTTTAATACAAAATGTAGTTTAAATTACTCCCAGTACTTTGAATTAGTTTCTGGTTTAAACTATAGGAAGGTAAGGTAAGGGAAATAGTGTTCTTTTTTTGATTTTTTAAAAGAAAAAAAAAAGAATTAGGTACATTACATAGAGTTTTTGACAAAGACTTTTCTACTCGGGACTAAGTATAAACAAAAAAAAAATAGTGTATTTTAACCAAAAAGATTTAAATATACATATTTAAACATACAATATACTTAAATGTCTTTGTTTTTGACTGAGAATAAAATCACTTAAAACCAAACCATATGTATTTAAATAATAACTGTTAACGTTGTAGCATGCGTGAAATTACATACTTTGTCAACATAAAATACCAGTGATTAATTAAGTAATTCAATTATTGTTATGTATGTAATGGAAGTCATCGTAGTCGTAGTTATCTTTGTGTAAATCATATGATTTACACAAAGATAACGATGGTGGTGCATGCTCCGATTACAAGCCTTTTAACGCTGGTGTACCACAAGGCTGCGTGCTATTACCAACGCTGTTTCTTCTGCATATCAATGATATGTTGCAAGCCGGTAACATTCATTGCTATGCAGATGACATCAATGGTGATGCTCTATACACCGGCCGTGCCAATATTTCTCGGGAAAACGTCACCGAGTACCGGAACAAACTTGTGTCTGAAGTCGAGTCTTTGCTGAACAAAGTCTCGGATGGGGGGCGACTAAATCTAGTCCAGTTTAATCCTCAGAAGACACAAATTTGCGCGTGTACCGCTAAAAAGAAAACCTTTGTCGTATCTCCTCAGTTTCAAGCTTTCAAGGCACTTCCCTTGTTGCCTAAGCCAGTATCGGAATCCTCGGCGTCGACATATCGAGTGACGTGCAGTTTCGTGGTCACTTGGAAGAGAAGATCAAATTGGCCTCTAAAAAGCTTGGCGTGCTCAGCAGAGCGGGACAGTATTTCATGCCGGCACACCGCCTGCAACTTTACAAGGCACAGGTTCGGCCTCAGATGGAAACATGGAATACTGTTCCCATCTCTGGGCTGGGGCTCCCCAGTGCCAGCTCCTTCCACTTCCATGGGAAGTGCTCTGAGGAATTGTTCGGACTAATTACAGCCGCTCAATTTCACCATCGTACATCGCGACAAAACTCGCGATACCATCCATTCCATCTAGATGATTGGCGGTCCAACACTGTGCGGTTTAGAAGAAGTTTTCTTCCTCGTGCAAATCTTCCTTGTGGAATCGAATAAAACCAGCTAATTTTCCGGACCGATACGAGTTAGGGAACTTCAAGAAAAGAGCCTACTCCTTTTTAAAACGCCGGCAATATAAAAAAATACACATATTATAAAAAAAAAATATGAATAATGTCCAATTATCAAATGATCTGTACGTTTTACGCGCTGGTTAAGTTTAGGTGAATGACTAATACTTTGATCTCTGATAAAGTTCAAGGTTTCGTTCGATATTCGCGAGCAAGACCGTAACATTCATTCAGGGTTACTGGACTGATAACACAAATTGAAAGTTAGAAGCATTTCTAAAATCGTTACACGAGTCCATGTATTATAAATTTACTAATATACTATATGAACGCTTGAAATATATTATATTTAAGGTAATCTTAGGTGATTTGCGTTTATTTGTGTCAGCACACTCGCCGTTGAATTTGAATTGCTGCAATTTGATAAATATTATGATATATGTTGACTTTTTTATTTCAGATGACTTACACGTTACAAATTTAAAGTTCATTTTTATCTCCTTCTCAATTACAATTAAAAAAATATAGTAGCGATTTGGTCTAAAATACCGTAACTATAATACATATAATCTATCGATTTGGTAACTGACTGTAAGTTTATTTATTTTTTGTTCAATAAAGTCTACAAAACCGATTATTAGGAATTTTAATAATAATTCGTAATTGGTAAGCAGTTAATATAATAAAAAGTTCACTATCTTGCGAAGTCAACCTGATAGTAAGTTGCTTTTTTTTTAATAAAATAAAAATGACAAACAAGCGCACAGTCCACCTGATGACCTACATTTATCCTTTATTAGGAATCAAAATGCAGACGCGTTGACATCCCTGAGGACTAAGGTGGGATGTCTCGTTACTATAAAAAGGGTCACCGATTTTCCACACTCGCTACATGTGTTTCGACAGTAGAAATATACTGTTGTTTCACTGTAGTATTCTGTGATAGTACGGTCCTATCCTGGTGGAGCCGACCCATAGCTGCAGTGTGACTCTACCCTAAAGAAAATCCTTTTAAAAACAGTAAAATCGGATTTTATATACTTAGGTACCTTAAAACTTCTTGTGTAATTTGTTGAACCATGTATCTAGGATAGTGGATTATCTTACGTCTCCATTCGCTTACTCAGTGCCCTGAGAACGATGAAGCTGTAAAAGCCAAATAGGCTAACAACATTACCA